AGTCACTCTTCTGTGGGTAAGGTCTGGAAGTGTTTACCTCTTCCCTTCAGTCTCTCCCTCTCCTTCCCACAGTCAAGCCCTAACAGCTTCTCCTGTCCTGCTGTGCCTCGCTGACCTGCCTTGGAGCCAGATGACTATAAACTCAAACATCTGCAGGTTGTAAGCCAAAATAAATCTCTCCTCCCTTGAATTGTAAGTGTGGAGTACACTGTCAGCAAAGAGGGAAGTAACATTCCTTTAGGCCAGAAAGTAGCATTAAAAAATACCATTCACAAAGACAACAAAATTATAAAATAAGCAGAGGTAACACCAAACAAAAGTATGCAACATTTCTGTGGAAGATAAAAGTCTACTAAAGCATAGCTTCTCTCCACGGCTGGGGATTTAGCACAGTGGTGCCACCGCCTGCCTCATAAGCTCTATGTCCTGAGTTCGATTCCCGGTATAAAAAAAAAAAATACGTTCTCTCCAATGCATAAACTCGATGAAAGGCCAATAAGAATCCCAAAAAGCATTAAGAAGAAATGCAGAGGTACAAAATTTCATGAATAGCTAAAGCAATTTTGAAAAAGAATGAAGACATAGAACCTATCTCATCAAGTATTTCAAATTCATAATGATTTCTTTAGAAGTGTAGTTTTACCTAACTGACAAAAGGGACGGAATAAACCCAGACCCATTTCTACAAAGAAACTTGGTATTTTTATAGTAGTGGTATAAGAAATCTCGTGTAGAAGGAGCCTTTGGGAGACTGGCTTAAAAAACTGGAAAAAAGATACAACTAGATTCTTAATGTGTATATATATTTTTTCTATATATCTCAAATATAAAAATAAATCCCATACCACTTTTTTTTTTAGGTACTGGGGATCAAACTCAGGATCTTACACTTGCAAAGCAGGTGGTGGAACCACTGAGCTAAATCCCCGGCCCCCCACACCATCTTATTTGACTAGAATTCTATATAAAACATCTTTAAAATTGAAAAGCTAGGTGAAGAGATATTTTGTAAATGGTACAAAGGGCATTTTCAGTGTGAAAGCTAAAAGCAGTCATAGTCAACGTATTTATCTGTCTGTATATGCTAGAAGCAGGAAGACTGTCAGCAGTCTTTTAGGAGGGAGTAAAATAGATTCTGTATAAGAAATATTTTTCTGAGAAGTTAATGCCACCAAGTGAAATTCAAGAATCAGGGGAACTAGAACAACCATTCTGATAGTACCGCCAGTACCATCCAAGGTACCATCCAAAGTAGGGGAGTAATCTCTTTTCTGATATAAATTTAGCAAATTTTCCTCTGGGCAAATTCAGGGAGCCACATTTCTCTTCCAGTGGCCCAGTACAACCATATTACACGCTTCTCACTCACCAGCTGGTAAGGGTCAAGTATTGTGTACTACTGTGCACACTTTGGTGGTTATGGGTTGTGTTTTGGTTCTGCATTTGGGTTTGGGGCATGGATTGTGGGTGGGATGAGATTAATACAAGGTAATAATGGCAAACCTTTCAGAGACAAGTGCCCAAATGGCAAGCCAAATCTCACATATCACAAAGTGCCAACACTGCAATTGAATCTGAATACTGAGGTTTGAGTTTTTTAAAAATTCATACATTAACTTTTTTTGTCTTGAATAAAAAGCAAATAACGTATGTGCCATAGGTTTACCACCATTGCTATAAGGCCTTGTTACTAGGAGGTGTTTTGTAAGCCATTAGAATCTATCTCACCAAGCAATAGTTTTAAAACGCAGAATCTTGAGGCCTGCTCCAGACCTACTGAAATTAAAATCTGTATTCTAACAAGGCCCCTTGTGTACATCTTAAAGCAAGGGAAACATTTAACACTTTTAAAACTCTATTAAAGGGAGAGAGAGCAGCTAAGTAGAAGCAAAGCCAGGGGCAGTCTGAGTTCTACTTGGAATACCCTTATCCCAAATTCTCCATTAATAAAGACAACATACAATTCCATCCTTTAGCAGTAAAGGTAGCAACTTCTCTGTACCCTGAGCTCACTTGATCAACAGTTTTAATTATCTAAGATATGGTCCAGACCTAGGAATAACCAAAAAATCCACTCTGAGCACTTGCTTGGGTCCTTAGAAGCCACATATGAGAGCTTCTGTGAGATTGAAGATTCTTACAGTTCTAACAAATTTAGTGTTCTGGTTCCCTGTCCACCAAAGATTGCAAGCAGCAAATTTAAAGTAGGGCAAAGGGGAAAAAGTAAAATATGGGGTTGGGGTGAAATGTACAATGAAAATTAATGGTAGAAAGAACAGCTTTGACATTTTCATGGTTATTTAGCTTTATAAATCTGTTCACGTCTCAAAAATTATAACTCCGGTTTTACTGAAATGATACTCATGCCTCATCATGTGGCAGAATCACATAAGTTCTTTTTAAAAAATATAAAACTCAAGCTTCAGTCTCAGAGATTCTATTTGGTTGGGGGGTAGGACCTAGGCCCAGGTATTTTATTAGAGCTTCCCAGGTGAATGTTGGTGGACTCGGGCCAGTTAGTAAAGGACCCACTGGCCAGGACACCTGTGTAGCTGTATATCCTCTCTCTACAGCTTGCTGCAATCAATGGCCATAATGAGGCTAAACTTGTGACCAGGATTTCCTGTTAAGAGGAAAACACTTTATATATTAGAATACATGTTGACAGAGAATTAGATAGCTTGGAACTAAATGAAACAAAAACACATACACATCTCCCTTTTCCTAAAGACATAGGCACCCCACACACACACACACACACAGGTCAGATCTTCTCTTGCTCTGTCCACAAATCACCTAGGGCCTTGCGCAGTGACGATTCTGACTCAGGAAGCTTGGAGAGGGCACAGGGTCTGCAGCCCTGGAAGGTTCCAGCTGCTGCCTGGAGGCCCCATGGAGTATCCTGGCAGTCATGACTCGATCTGTTTTTGGGACCCAAACAAGGCTTCCTCACTCCCGAAGAGCGAATTCCACGGACACCCTTGGGACTGAGCTCTCAAATATGCACTCAGAACCACAGGATTCCATGAAGGAGTTTTCTTTTGTTAACTGTTCCCTCCTCCCACTGGGCAACTTTATGGGGGGATCAGAGACATACATGAGAAATAAGCGTACAGGGCATCTAACTCAGCCTGTTCATTACAAAGTGAGGAACTTGAGGCCGGGTTGGCAAGGATTTGCCAAGTTCACAGGTGATGGTGCTAAAAGTCAAAACTAGTCCTAAGGTGAGATGCCCAAGCATCAGTTAAGGAATCCTGTCAGAATGATTGCGTGGGGAACATGCACTTGTGGATCCCCAGAAAACCTGCTAATACAGGACAAACTTGGAGAGGAACAGAAAGTCCTAAAGCTAGGCAGACTGGCCCTGGAGCCCTGAGATGAGGTAGATAACAGCTGTGGAGACTCCTCCGTCTGAGACCACACAATAGCCATTGTTTCCCCTCCTGAGGAATTTCCACAAGCAAGGGCCTGGGCCTCCACAGAAGCTGCCTTTGAATGCTTCAGGCATCCTGATTTCATTTTCATTTTTGGAACCTCTTCTCTAATAATTTTCTAAATCCCACACAATAATGATGTATGGTCTTGCTCAATACTAAGAAGCCCTTGTACAAAATTAAAGACATTTTTTTCAAAGTGAGGGAAAAGGGAACCATATTCCGGGAACAGTCGGAAATTTATCCAGCCAGCGATCTGATTTTCGTTCCATTCTTTCTGTCTTTGTTGCCCCTTAGAAAAACAGGGTAAGTGCAAAGGAAATCGGCAAATTCAGTTGCATCCTTGACCATGGGTCGTCCATGTGGCTGAGTGGCCACACTGGCTCCTCAGGGTCTCCTTCCCTTGCCACACAAAACAGTCCCAATGCCACCGTCTGAACTCAAAGCTCTGGGTGTGGCTTTCTCTAACAAAGCTTATTCTCAAGGATTTCATCTTATTATATGGTTATCTGGGGCTGGAGTCAAAGAGCTACCCACAGGGAAATCATCCTGAAAGCTACAAGTTTGAATATGAAACAAGAGCACCACTAACGACCCCACTGGAATAGAACTTTGCTGGGCTCACAGCCTCTGCCCACCCCACCACCCTTGCTGCACTTGGCTTGTCTTTCGTTTGCACTCTGGTTAATCCAACAGGACCTCTGATTGGAGGCCACCTCCGCATCTCTTGGGCATCTCGCTGTCTATACTGGCTGAGCAGAACCCCACTTGCCAGGCGGATCAGGGCATTTGTGCGACATCTCAGAGATCACAAACTTTTCTTAGCGCCTTGTCAGAGAGTGGCCAGGTGAGGTGTCCGACTCCTACCAGCAGGGTTGTTGAAGCAACAAGCCTGGAGCTGGTTTTCATGTTCCTCATTACACTTTACTTTCTCAATTGCCTTAACGGGCATGTGTTACAACAAAATTAAGTGCAATTGCTTTCTTTATTGTAATTTACAAAGAGATGGGTTTGATCACGGATCCTAGGGACTTTTCAAATCCACTGATCTTGGGCTGAAGGGAGGTCTCTTTTTACACATTCTTCTCAAGCAATGAATTCAAAGAATAAAGGGAAAACCCATGTTTCTTCCCCACCATGTTTCGCAATGGCCATTAGATGACCACAGCACCATCAAAGCCACGGGAACTGCATGTTCTGCCTGGAGGAGAGGGAAGGGAGCTTCCGAGAGTTACACTCTCCCAAGAAAAATGATTCCGATACCCCAAAAAGCCAGGCTGATGGTGATTTCAGGGATCTAGGGAAGCAAGGACTGGTTCAGACTCCTGCAGGTCTTTTCTGATCCCTGATGATGCAAAGGGGACCCTGGCTCTGGAGCGCCTAGAGATCACCACGAAGCCTGGGTTCTGGATGTGGCGTGAGCAGCTACAGGCGGAGCGGGCCAGAAGCTGAAAGCGGAAGCTTCCCCATCAGAGGAAAGGGCCACACCCGAGGGCCAAGAGGGGAAGGCTGGCTGTGCCCTTGGGGAGCCCTGGGGCTGGGGGCCTCGTCTCCCCGCCCACTCACCTTGTTCTCGCCCCTCTCCTCGCCCCTCTCCCCGCCCAACTGCCTCATGCTCCCACGTGGGCCCCGCTCACCAGCTCGTGCTCCGCCCCGCGCCCCGCCCTCCTGCCGACCCGCCGCGCGGGGGCGCCCACCAGTCCTGCCCACCGGTCCTGGGTTATATAGTTGCAGAGGCGCGTCTCGGAGGTCAGCGAGCGGCCTCCAGAGGTTACGCTCTTGTTCTTGCACTGTTCAGGCGCCATGGCCGAGTCCTTGTTCTTCAACAAGCAGATAAAGCACATAACCCAGGACCCCAGCCGCCTGTGGATATGGGACAAGGCCACCTTTATGGATGAGCAGCGGCGCACCTGGCTGCCGATCATCCTCCAGGTACAGCCGGCCCTGAGGCCACAGGAGCCTGCCCTCCAATGGCTGCATTGCCCCCGGGCCAGGAAGGAGGGTGGGCGAAGCTCGAGGGCTGCGGGGCAGGGCGGAGGAGGGGATCCGGGGCTTCCTCAGAGCGGAGGAGGGGATCCGGGGCTTCCTCAGAGCGGACTCTCTGGCCTCCGCTCCTAATCCGTACCATAGGAGTATCTTTAAAGTAAGTGACTGGTGCTTGGGCTAATAACCAGCATCTCCTTAAACTGGCCCCGGAACCTCTCATTTATAAAGCGCGCTGTCTAGGTTGAGAACCAAGGCCCAAGCTGAGGGGTGTTCCTATCTCCCCCACGCTGGGGAACCATCGGGCCTGGACTGCGCTCTTCTGGGGGTGTGTGGATCTTTAGTTGTTAACGTTCTTTCTTTTAAAAAAATATAACTCAAAACACGGCTGACACGCAGCCACTCCGTAGACTGAGGCAGGAGGATCGCAGGTCTGAGGCCTGTCTGGGCTAACTAGTGAAAGCCTGCCTCAAAATCTTAAAACAAAAAGCCAGGGATGTAGTTCAGTGGTAGAGCAGTTGCCCAGCATGCATGAGGCCCTGGGTTCAACGCCTAGTACAGCAAAACGTACCTATTTCTTTTAAGTATTTTCAATCAGAGGGTGGGTTTACTCAAAGCAATTGAAGCAAAAAGTGGTGAAACTCTCCATACATAAACCAAAGAAAGGTGGGAAAGCAAAATTAAAACACATGCTAGTGGAATATTTATTAAACATAATAGCACACAGATACACTTTGTCTCCACTTTACAGATGGAGAAAAGGAAGTTTAAAATGTAAACTTGCCCCAGGTGATCAGCTGGGTCTGGCAGTTCCAGGCTCTTAACTGCAATCTGAATTTGCATTTTAATTGCCATTTCAGTTTTTAAGATAAATACTTTTTAAAAATCAATTTAAATCTGTAGCCATACCGCCCTGAAAATGCCTAGTCCCTTCTGATCCAAAGCTAAGCAGGGTCTGGCCTGGTTAGTACTTGGAAGGGAGGCCTGAAGGTCAATTTAAATGTTTACTTCTTTTTTGGTCAAGTCTTAAAAATTTTTTAGTAGATCTCATTTTAAAATCTCTGACTAGGAAATAACTTCTCACCAAAGCCACAAACCCAACATTTTTTTTTTTTTTTTTTTAGTATTGGTGAGTGTCCTCTGAAAAACAACCGTTTGGCAAAGTTGGGCAGGATTTGCCTCAACTAGGAAATATTCTCACTAAAGTCCCAAACCCAACATTTTTTTTTTTTTTTTTGTAGTATTGGTGAGTGTCCTCTGAAAAACAACCGTTTGGCAAAGTTGGGCAGGATTTGCCTCACAGGTGAAAGAAACATTGTTCTTGATAGGTGGTAATTTAGTTAAATTCACAAGAAAAAGATGAATAATTTGAAGTGGTTAAGGGATCTAAAGATGAAATAACACAGCAAGAATGGTGATTTCTAAGGCACTTGGACCGTGAAGAATGATCTGGTTTTTGTTTTTGTTTTTGTTTTTCTGGGTTTTTTTTTTAACGGTTAAGTTCTAATTTATTTTATTGGCAGAAATTTTCACCTTAGAAAAATACTCACTGAACAAATGTTAGCACTTGATTTATACTGAGTAAACACGGGGGCGCCTGGAGACTCATTGGCTAAACGTGGGAGTGAGACCTTGCAGTGAATGTGCTGCAAAACCAACACAGCTGGGGGAGACGGTCTGGGGAACAAAGCTGGGGTTAAGTCGTGTAGGAAAAAGAAACACGTGAAGGAGGCAGCAGTGCTGTGTGCATCTTCTGTGTAGAGTCTTTCTGAGTCTTCGGGGCCTGCCTCTTGTGGGTATCTTCGAGGTGGATTTTGCAGGGTTTTTTTCCCTTGAATTTTTAGCTGAAACTCATTTTCAGTTACTGATAAAAAACTGTGCTTGGTCTCCATCCGCGTCTGCAGGCAGCGGAACCACTGAGCTAAATTCCCGGCTCCCGTCTGTCTTTAAGGGACATGCACTTGAGCAGAGGCGGCCTAGAGGAGGGCTGTGAGCTGTGCAACCCAGGGCCAAGGCTCCAGGGAGGACAGCGGTGGGAGAGGCTGGTGGAACCAGGCGTGAGTGTGCAGGTCCCGAAGTGGCCCCAGGCCAATGTGGCTGGAGCAGAGCGGAGGTTGGTGGGACCTGCTTCCTGGGCCTTTGAGGACCTTTGTGGGCCTTGATGGGAAGCTGTCAAGCATGGGAGAGATGTGATTTTTCAGCTGCTCAGCCTGGCTGTTTTGCAGGGACCTGGCTGTGGGACACAAGACCAGCAAGGCAATAGTAAGTTAGGAAGGAGGTGGCTACTGTGGTGCAGAAGACAGGATGGTAGAGGTTAGGGAGGGTGAAGAATCCTGGCTTCGGCGATGTCTAAAGGAAAAATAGAACAGAATAAAAAAAATCAAAGCCCCATGCCAGTTAAACAGGTACCAAGCCAAGGGCCATGCAGCCCAAACCAGCCTTGGAAGCTTGGCAGGAACGAGCGTGCCCTTTGTGGCCCTGTCTGGGTGGCTAGCTCCCTACTGGCCCAGCTGGAGTCCCTGATAGCAGCAGGCACTGCCCACAGGGCTGAGCATTGGGCACAGTGACCACCTGCATCTCGCCCTGGCATCTGTGGCTCAGGTTGGGGCTGTGGGGTGGGGAGGACCCTGGCCAGCTGCTGGGCCTGGAGGAGCCTGGTGCATGGGACCTGAACATGTACCCTGTCTGTCCTCTGTAGACAGAGAATCACCTGCAGGTGCTCCTGCGGCAGCACACGATCCAGGTGGGGCAACCCCTGAGCCCCAGCCAACTCACCTCCTGCCCACTGCCTCTGATGTGGCAGCTGGACTTCAACAGGAAGTACCGAGCCAGTGACTTCTCCATCTGGCGCGTAGTGTATCACATCGAGGCAAGCGCGGCTCCCCGGGCACAGGCGGGTGGTCTCGGGTGGCCCTGCCCTGGCCACTCTGCCTGTTTTTCCCTCTGCCACAGCACTAAAAGCTGAAATAATGGATTCACAGCTACAGGTTTATAAAGGGCTGGGCCAGACAGGAGTTAGAACTGAAGGCCTGGAGGTCCCCAGAGGTCCCCAACAGAACCCCTGGGGGTGCAGAAAGGCTCACTATAGTAGTGACAGGCTGAAGCGGTGCCACACCCATGTCCTACCAGTGAGGACCCAGGGAGGACAGAGTGGGGTCCCGGGGCTTTGATCTGATCACCCCCTCTCTCCTTCCCCTCCTGCCCTCAGTTCTGTGGCATGGAAGACATCCTCCTGGAGAAGTTGCCGAACCCAGAGTGTTCTTGATGTGGTAAGCACCTGGGCCCGTCCCCCACTGTCGCCCCAGAGGGTCCCCAGGCTGGACAGGCTTCCAGGGTACCCTGTTTCTTCAATACCACCTCCAGAGCAGAGCCTTCTGGGCAGCCCTATGCTCCCTCCCAGCTGCAGTGCATGGGTCACAGTTGGCGCCTTCCTTAACAGACTCGGGGTTTGAAAAGCACGTTTCCCAGTTGTCCTGTTACTGCATTGGGGCACAGTGAGGCTCAGCCCCTGGGAGCCAGCCCCAGCAACCCTGGTGCGGTCCTTCCCTCTGACCCTGTCCCCTCTCGCCCCTCCCTAGGTCTTGCAGTTCTGACTCTGCTCGCCCTGGGCCTGCAGTGGATGTCTGTGCTATGTTCACCCTGTTGACTGTCCTGTGTGTTGTTCGCTGTGCTGGGAGGAGATGCCCACCACAGCCCTCTGGGCTCCCTTGGCCGCACTGCTGCCCTGGCAGGAGGTACCAGCAAGGACCATGTCCATGTCACTTCCTCCAGCGTCCAACCCTACCTGTACCTCTGGTTTCCCAGCTGGCAGACGATTTTCAGTCTCTCTCCCTTGTTGTGCTCGTACCCAGAGACCATTTCCATTCTGTTCCCTCAACTCTGCATCCGGGCCAGACCAGCCCTCCTCCCCAGGTGCTAGGCCTGCACGCATACCTGGCCTGCAAAGTCTCTTTCACCCTGCAGGCTCACACCTGCGCCTGCTGGTCCATGGCCCACAACACCCGGCACTGCGAGAGGCTGGGCGAGCAATCGGCATGGGTGCCTTCAGGTTGCCCATCTTAGAAGGGAGAGGAGTCAGGCTCCCCTCTTTCACGGGTACCTGCACACACAGGCATTGTGAGGTTGGATGAGGCGTGAACTCTTGGTAATGTTGACTGATTAAATGCATAATGGTTTGTATAACTCGTGCTGAATCTGCTTCTGGCTTTGACCTACATCCTGGGGCGAGCAAGGGGAACAGGCAGTCACCCTGTCCCTGCATCAGGAAACGGACTGGGAAAGAATGCCAGGGACTTTGTGCATTTCTGACACTTTGAAAATAGCCTTGAAGGTTTTCTCGCACAGTAATCCCAACTCTCTGACCCCGTGTTTCTGGAGGTAGAGTTAAGAGTGAGGGACCTCAGAAAGGCTTTGTCGGCAGCTCCTGTAATGGAGCCCGTGTCCAGTCCTACCCTGTCACACTCTTTTTCCAGGAACCCTTCCTTAGCCCCCTTGCTGCCTGGGCTCCAGGTCTGTCCCTTCCTGGGCAGTTCCCTGCTGTCAGTCTCAGCAGGAGACACCCCACACACACATACCCCACCTGATACTATCCCTTCCCACCTCCACAATTCATGCGTGGCCCAGCCCACTCTAGGCCCCCCTCAGTTGCTTCTCAAAATCCCCTGCCCTCCTGCACCTTCAAGCAGAACTGGGGATGCCTTACAGAGGAGGCCGGGAAGGAGCCAGTGGAGTCCTGAGTCCCACTCCTGTCCACAACTTCATGGCAGAGACACGGAAAGGGTGGGACTGGTGGACAGAAAGTTGCTGCGGGAACTGCACAAGAGAAACACCGTATCCTCTTACATCCTGGACAAATGAGAAGCACGACAGGACAACAGCTCTTGTCTTCCTCACCCTTCCTTGCACACTGCCCTTGACAGCACGGATGCTGCCTCTGTTGGGGTACACAACCAGACTAATGCCTGAGCAGGAGGAGCTCGGGGACCCCTTAGTCCTGGGGAAACGGGGTCCAGGAAGAGGAACATCTGTTGCAACATTTTGTTTACCAAATATTTGCACACCACCCAGACTGTGCTGGGTGCTCTGGATACAGTAGCAAAAGATGCAGGCTTGCAACATGGAAAATCTAGGAAGTAGGAGGAGGAGACTGAAGGCAGGGGCAGGGCAGGGCAGGGCAGCAGTTTGAGAGGTTTTCATTTTTTATTGGCACATACTTGTACACAGTGTTTCCATTCCTTGTGGAGAATTGGTATCTGTACATAATGTATCTTCCGTGTTTTCATCCGTTTTCCTTCCCTCCCTGCCCCTGTCCATCTCTTCATCCCCTTCCTCTTTTTTTGTACATGTTCACGCACAGTGTTTGCATTCCTTGTGTGGGGTTGGTACACTTACATGACACATCCTGATTCCTGTTTCATCCCTCTCTCCCTTCCCCTTTGAGAAAGATCTATCTCCCTACTTCCCATTATCTTTTATTTTGTTCTTTACACTTTGGGATTCTGCATAAGAGAAACCATGCAATATTTAAGCTTGTGTGCCTGATTTATTCCCATATAGACTTTTCAGACTGAATTTTTTTATATTCACTGTTTCGTATATGACAGATTCTGCTCTGTCATTTTTCATTACCATTATTTCCAAAAAATTCCACATTTTTTTTTAATTTCCTCTCGACTTAAGGTTTGCCTTGGACCAGTGATGGCGAACCTTTTAGAGCTCTCAATGATACAAACAGCCCAATGGCACAAGCACCACAGGCCCACCACCACTGGCCTCTACCTATGCTTAAGAAGGCCTTTCCTTCCCCTTTCCTTTCTGACACGGCCTTGCTGTGCTGCTCCGACTAGATACCTTCAATGGTTCACAACCCTCCTGCCTCAGCCTCCCAAGTAATGGGTTATAGGTGTGCACCACTGTACCCAGCTTAGGAAGGTATGATTTTTTCAGATAGGGGATGTAGCTCAGTGGTACAATATGTGGTTAGTGAGTACAAGACCCTGGGTTCAACCCCCAGCAACATCTCCCAAAAAATTCCAAGTAGAAGGGCCTTTTTGTTGTGTAACTTCTGTTAGTAATTTATAGTTCTATTACCCGGAAGTCAAGATGTTCTATTTAACTTAATTTACTTACATAATTATTCACATGGCCTAATATACTCGTTTTGTGAATGTTCCATGTGCATTTGAAAAGACATTTCCCTCAGCTGGGTGCACAGAATTTCTGCTCCAGTGTTAATATGCTTAGGCTTTCTCTGATCTCAGTCATTGTGTCCATTTGATTTAGCCTGAAAAATTCCATAAACACCTCCTATAAGTGGTATATTTCCATCTTCTCTCTGAATATTGATTGTCATGCCTTTTGAATTCTAGTCTTTGAGTCTGTGAGTGTTTCCTGGAAAGATTTCTACCTGGGCCTGTGTCAAGATCACCAGCTGTGTGCTGGCTTCTATTGATCTGCTTTTGCCTGCCATGTTTTTGCCATCGTCTGAATTTCTTTGTGTTGGGGGTGTTTCATAAATACGTGTCATACATTCACATAGAGGAGGGAGGGAGAATGTATGTGTGTGTTTATTGGATTTTGCTGTACTTTCTGAGTTGAATGAAACCCATTTTCAGTTATTTGGTCTTAGCATTGTTTGTTTTTCTTTATATATGTATAAAATCCTCCGTGCTGCCTGCTTTCTAACTTCTCTTTTTCTCTTGGCAGTGCATTTTTTTTCCCCATGGTTACTAATGTTTCAGAGTAATATCTTCACTCATGAACATTTCAGACAGTTGTACCAAAGGCCTCTCGATGTCCCGTGTGGTAGCCACAAGCTAAACATAACTGTGCAGGACTTGAAATGTGGCTTGTGTGAATAAGAAAAGGGACTTCCATTTTTATAAATGTTGATTAAGTATAAATAGCTGCATGTGTCTGTTAGAAGATGTTTTGGTTCCCTACAATGAACAGTATTGGAATTAGTAACTTCTTCCCCCTCCTCTCCCTCTTTCCAGAGCATCAAAAGTGGTAACATTTAAGAGCTACATAATATCTTTAAGGTAACCATTAGGCTTATCTTCTGACTATTCTCTTCCCAATTTTGATAGAAGCATTATATCTTAATTATCAGAGAATATATCAGATGGAGGTTAGATATCCCTAATCCAAAGATCTGAAGTCTAGTACACTCCAAAGTCTAAAATTCTTTGAGCACTGATATGAAACTGTAAGTAGAAAATGCTGTATTTGACCTCATTTGGGAGGTCGTGGTCACATTAATGGTTCTGTGTGTACAATTTTCTTTTTATACAGAAAGTTACTGAAAATATTTGACATTGCCTTCAGGCTACATGTGTAAAATACATCCGAAACACAAATGAATTTCATTTGTAGACTTGGGTCTCATCCTCAAGTTATCTTGATTGTATATACACTATGTAAATGTTCTAAAATAAAAAATCCGAAATCTAAAACATTCCTGTTCCCAAAGCATTTCAGATCATCCTCATTTCCTTTAGTTACTCTTAATCCTAATGAAAAGCTTCCAAAATATTTCCTTGTGGTCTGAAACTTGTTCAGTGAGTTACTTGGGAAGGGAATGCAGGAGCAGTTTCCCTGGTTTCTGTCATTTCCACGATAGTTTGTAACCTTGGTACTTGAGATCACTTTGGCTGAATTTTGAAACCCTTGGCTCACATTTTCTTTTTTGGATGTCTAGTCGATGTTACTCCATTTACTCCAGTGTGTTTTAACTTAAAAGTATCCTGAAAATATTTAACCCCATATAAATTGCTTAATGGTTTTAGCTTATGCTGAAGAGATTTTGTTTTATATCATTTTAATAGACTTTGCCTTGGTATTGACTGTTCTTGCTCCTTTGTTCCTTCACATTCTTTGGCTCAAGTCCTCCTTTTGTTTTTAGGAGAGTTTTCTTTAATCATTTCTGTTCCACTGTCTTGAATTCCTTTTTCAGGGAGGAGGATTATATTATGCATCTATTGGATCTTCTTTGCCTATCTTCTATATCTGGTATTTAAAAAATATATTTTTGTTCTTTTTATTCTACTGGGGTTTTTATTTTCCTGTTGCTATTTTAATCAATTTTTCTTTTTGTATTCTAGTATCTCTGCTAGGTTTCATGGGGGGAGGCTGGAGAGGTTGGAAAATGTGTGTCATTTGGCCAAAAATTTTACTGACTTTCAAAGTTACTTTGTTACATTAATTATATTTCCTTACAAAATAATTTTAATTACCCTCTAAAGGAGAACCTCTGAAGAGATAATGCCAGTTCTAAAAGATTCCAACCTGTCTTGGGTTACTGTGGTGGTTAGGGCAGAGTATCAACCAGGACATTGGTGGAGCACACTTCTGGGTGTATCTGAGTGTGTCATGGATGCCTGGCCTTGGGGTCTGAGTCTGATCCCTTTCCCCTTCCTCTCTGGCACCATTCTCTTGCCCTGCTTCTGAGCCACTGCGAACTGAACAGCTTTGCTCTCCACACCTTTCCATCGTGGTGATGTTCCTGCCTTGGAGCCTGCAAACCAGGAACTGAATCCTCTGAAACTATGAGCCAAATTAAACGTTTCCTCCTTTAAATTGTGTGCAGTGGGTTCAG